CAAGAGGTTGAAGTGCTTTTGCAGCACTTACGAAAAGTGTTAATTATGTTGTAATTAAAGTGCTAATTATATTTAGCTTTGTAATTAAAGTGCTAACAACAGCACTTTACGAATTGAATAGTGCTAATCTGTTAGCATTCGTTAATGCACCTACGAAAGGTGCAAAAATTTTAATCTTTCGGATGTGGCCAAAAGGTTGTGACCTTTTGGTACTTTTTGAAAAGATCCGAAAAGTTAAAAGCTATTTTTTAAATCCTACGGACTTCTCGGTCATTCAATGTTTTAAAATAGGTTATTATAATCGGTATGAATTAATTGTACTTAATTTCGTAACCGTAAATATTATTTCAATAATAAATATGACTCTTTCAAACGTTATAATTAAATTATTAAATTAGATTTATGTGACATTGGATAATGCTATTAATTATATTCCTAATCTCTTCTATAAATACCTAGGTGTCGTGCATATTTTTTAGTTGTTGGATTTTGAACTAAACAAAATCTTTGTTGATTTTCTCCTACTCTCTCCACGGAAATCATTTATTTTTGAAAAATTTTGCCCACACTTCCTATAAAATATCGAAGTGCTTACCTGTTGATTTTGTACGCCGGACTTTATGTTTGAGTGATCAAGCACTAAAGTCGTAATCCGTGTTATTTTGAGAGACTGACGCTACATTAATGCTGCTAGCACCCCCGGGATGTCGCAAATCAGTTTTAAGAAGAGTGTGAGTACACACGACTGAGATTTCTCCTCCTTCATTTTCTTGGTCGTTGGGTTTATATTTTAAAATTGAAAACCCTTATTCGTTTTTATTTATTTTTGTATAAATAAATTCGAAACTGCTAAATTTGTACTAGTTTGCGATTGGGATTATTTTTATAAAATTATACACACACACACAAATATATATACAAATGAAAAATGAAATATAATTTTAGAAAATTAACTCCAACCAAAGCTTGTTACGAAACAAAAATTATATATATATATATATATATATATATATATATATATATATATATAGTAATAAAGTATATTTGGTTTAATATACAGAGTAGTATTTAATTAAGTAAATTATGTTGGTAGGTAATGTATTAAGGTAAGTACGATAAATTTATTTACTATTTAATTTAATACTTAACTAACATAATATTAATTGTTTAATAACCAGGACTATGTGGTCTAATGGTACCCGAGTTGGACTTTCATTTTGGAATGTTGTAATTTCGAGCCTCAGTGGAGGCGTTATTAGCTCTTTGTGTTTCAGTAGGTTGAGAATCTATATGAACAGATACTACAAAGCTCTAATAGAGCTAGTAGCATTCAAAAAAAAAAAAACAAAAAACGAATATATATATATTTCATGAATATAACTTGCATTTATTCTTGTAAGATAAGATATATATATATATATATATATATATATATATAGGGACGCACTCAGGTGCGAATAAGTGCCCAGGAAGGAAATGCGAACGAAATCAGCGCGCGACACGTGCTGACACGTGTCCAGCTCTAATAACTTAAAAAAATGCGGTGGTATTTCCGTAAATAATTGAACATCGAAGTGCAAGTAAAATCTCTTATAAGTGCACCTATTTTCACCTATAAGTGCATGTAATTTTGCCTTGTTAGCATTCACTTTTCGCAACCATTCATGCACCTGGGTGTGCTTATAACTATGTGTGCAACTATTTATAACTATAGGTGCAACTACTTATAACTATAGGTGCAACTACTTTCACCTATGAGTGCATGTAATTTTTCCTTGTTAACATTCACGGCTGGAAATCTCGCTATTTCCGTCCAACCGTAAATTGGTCGGTATTTTAATAAAAATTTCAACTTTTTGTTGCTAAAAATAAGTGGACGGAAAATTGGTCGGAAGTTCCTTCCAACACGCAAATGTTGGACGGAAATTCTGTCCAACATCCCGTGTTGGATGGAAATTGTGTCAAACCTATAGTGTTGGTTGGTAAACTCAAATGGACTAATAGGTAAAAATTAAAAATGATAAGTATTTTAATTTTCGTCCAACAGCATGTTGGACGGAAATTTAAATATTTTAACCTTCCCTTCCTTTTTCTCAGTTGAAATGTCGAAGATTTTCCCTAATTCCCTCCCGTCCAAGACTATCGCTCAAACTCTCTGACGCGAAGGTTTCATTGCGAAGGAGGTCGTCAACCGCTCTCCAAAAGCTCCGCCGCGGCCTGGGGATGACGGCAACGACGCTCCGCCTTCGGATCTGTCTCAAAGGCTCAAAGGTAACGATGTATTTTTTCTTTTCTTTTGCTTTTTTCTTAAAATAGATCTCAGATCTGTCTTCTCCGTCGGAATCACATCTACCGTCGGCGAGACCAGATCTGTCTCAAACCACGCTCCACCTTCAGATCTGTTGTATTGATCTTTATGTCGATGTATTTATGCAGAAGCTTATAGTGAAGTTTAATAATTTGTTGACTAATGAATGTGAAAAGAGTAATGATGTCTCTGGTCATACTGAGAGAAGGAAAGTACAATGGACAGATACATCTGGCGGTGAGCTTTTTGAGGTCCGAGAATTTGAGCTTAGGTATGAATTCCAGATCCTTCAATATTCTTTCAAGTGCAAATAAGTTCATAATATTTATCTTGCTTATTGCTGAACTTTCTTATTGTTGTGAGACTGCTTAGGAACTACTTCATGTTAAATATATGTGTTTTGGACTTGTGAAGGTTTTATTGTGAACCATTTAGATGGGGAAAATATACTCTGATATAATAAATCTGCATTTTGACACACATTAAAGAGCATCACACTCAGTGTTCCTCCTGGGTGCATTCTCTTGGGTGTTTTTAGCTCCCATTTCCCTATCCCTCTCCCTCTCTTCCAGAGCATAGCAATTATGATTATATTTTTTTTGAGGAAAAAAAAAAGAACACACCCTTTCCTCCTACTCCAATTAGTTTATTAGTAGATTTTTTATTATGTTCTTCTGTGATTGACTGTTTCATACTTCATTCCTTTCTTCTGGTGGTGATTGCCTTGTTTATGTGGCACTTAAGTGATTATTAGACCTCTTTCTAAATGGAAACTAATAGTGAGGAATATTCCTTTCAAGATTACTTTTCCTTTCTAGATTTTATTATATTTCTATATGTTGTGTGAGGATTAGGAAAGAAACTTTTTAATTTGTTAAAAACTGAATGCAGGCCACAATGGATGAGATAAAGAGTACGTTTTCACTTTTCAACTGTTAGCTTTGTATGGGATGCATTTATTCCTCAAAATGCAGAGGCAGGGTATAATTCAATGAATTAATACGGAGTAGTTTATAACCTCTTCTTTCATATTTCTTTTCATTGTTTATCGGATTATCATTAACCTTGATTATATTTGAATGGCATTTTGCAATTTGTCTAAAGGTCAAAAAAATCAAGGTATGTATATTATCACTTGCTTTATTTTTGTAAAGGGTCTCTTACCAATTATGCTGTAGTTGACGATTTGTTTCCATGGTTGAGTTGAAATATTTTTAGCTTGAGCTCAACTATTATACAGTGCTTGAGATTCATACCACATATCTTTGTCATTGCAGGTGGGAGTTTCATTTTGTTCAGTACTTGAGATTCATACCACATATCTTTGTGATAGTGCCTCTCAAATAGTGATTTATTGATCTTTTGTATGAAGTATTCTTATATGTTTGTTTTTATTTATTTATGTTCTTGCTAGTTGGTGAAGGTCTATCAGTCATTAAAGAAAATGCTGTGGAAGCTGCATTAATCAAAGCCATTGAAGTAGTGCCGGATTTGAAGGCTTGTTTGAGTGTAGCGAGCATACTTGTAGTATATATTTTTATGACTTTTTTTTTTGTGTGTGTGTGTATAATAATAGTCCGTTGTTGGAATTATTATGTACATAACAATAATTTTTGTTGTAAACACTTTTGATGTTTAAATATATTTTCAATATGAAATTTAGTGTGTCTATTAATTTGGTGATGATATATAATTTATTAACAATAGATATAAATAAAATTATGGTAATATAAAAATAATAAAAACATTTCATATGATTTAGGATTTTCCTACCAACAGTTGGAAGGAAAATAACAAAATATTATATGTGAGTTTTCCGTCCAACTTTGGGTCGAAATTTCCGACCAACACATAATTGGACGGAAATTCTCACGTTTTAAAAATGGTGGGTTACTTCCCGAAATTTCCGTCCAATTTTTGTCCGTTGGACACTATTTCTGACGAAAAATCGTAGTTGGACGGAATTTGCGATAATGGTTTTTCCGAACGTTCGTTTTGGTCGGTATGTTGGACGGAAACGTCGTTTCTGACCAATATATCGCGTTTTCCGTCCAACAAACGTTGGACGGAAAACGCGAGATTTCCAGCAGTGATTCATTGATATGAGTTCAGCGGGTAGTAATACTCCTGAAAACCACTCGCAAACATTCATACACCTAGATGCAACTACTTATACCTATCTGTGCAACTACTTAGAACTATAGGTGCAACTACTTAGAACTATAAGTGCAACTAAGTATTGATGCTCAGTGTAAATTTTTACTTGCACCTATAATACATTTTACATGCACTTGTAATACATTTTACTTGAACTTCGATGTTCAATTATTTACGAAAATGCCACCGCGTTTTTTAAAAAAATCAGTGTTTCTCATCCATTAGATCTGGACACGTGGACGAACAGAATCCATTCCTATTTCGCGCCTGGGCGAGCCGTTCGCACCCGAGTGCAAGTATATATATATATATATATATATATATATATATATATATATATATATATATATATATATATATATATATATATATATATATACTTGCGATGTAACCCTGTAAACATAATCTAGAAATTTCCGAAAAGTGTCACAAAAAATACGATTTTATTTTAAAAGATTATTGGCTGTTAAAATGATTGTCATTACCCTATTTGTCTGAAAATATTCATTGCTTCCCAACGACCCAACTAAATGCACTAGTGGTTCGCAAAGGAGCTGAGCACGACTTGTTTCGATCACCACCTTATTTATAATAATCCCCCCTTCTCTCCCTCTGCAACTAAAACTCTTTCATTTCATTTCCCATCTCTCGAAGAAGATCGATAAGAAGAAATGGGAAGAGCTCCTTGTTGTTCTAAAGTTGGGTTGAAAAAAGGCCCTTGGTCTGCTAAAGAAGACTCCATGCTTACTACTTACATTCAACACCATGGTGTAGGCCATTGGAGATCACTCCCCAAGAATGCTGGTAATTTTTCATATATACTCACCATACTATTATTTACTCTCTCTGTCTCATTTTATCTGTCCTACTTATTGTTCATTGATCAAACTAAATCTTTTTTCTTTGTTTATTTTCTTTAGTATTCTTTACTTATTTTTAAATTTGATTTGTTGCATGTGTTTAATAGTACTTTTAATGTAGTTTCTAAATATATAAATTTTGTATACAAATACTAAACTTAATATTATAAAAAATTAGATGAAAAATAACTTCAAGTCAAGTCTCGTTAACCGAACCAGACACATAAAATGGAACGAAGTGAGTAATTAATATATAAATGTATGTATGTTTTTATTTAAAACGAAACATACATCAGATGATAAATCATAGGTTAGAAGCCTTTGGGTGACGGGTGAAACCTTGTAGCCACTATCCCAGTAGGGATAAATTCAAATTTCTGACCGTATTCGGCAGTAAATCAGCTGATTCAATTCGTTCAAATCAAGAAATTCAGATCCCTCCCTTAAAAATTGAACTTGTAACTTTGTAGTTAACAAGTCAACCTGATTAGGGTTGCCTTCATGTCGTCTTTCAATTATGCATGTCCTTTTATCACTGCTATAGATGACTAATATGTTCATGAAAACACACACACAGGGTTGCTAAGATGTGGGAAAAGTTGCAGACTGAGATGGATGAATTACTTGAGGCCAGGGATCAAGAGAGGAAACTTCACCCCTGAAGAAGATGATCTCATAGTACGCCTCCACTCCCTTATCGGGAACCGGTGGTCGCTCATTGCCGGTCGGTTGCCCGGTCGGACCGATAACGAGATCAAGAACTACTGGAACACTCACCTCCTCAAGAAGCTCAAGAGTGCAGGGTTCGAATCCAAACCGCGTAAAACTTCCAGAACAATCCCGAAGAAGAAGAAGAAGACAGCCAAACCGGATAAAACCCGGAGCGAGAAGAGAAAAAAGCTCAGGCACGTGAGTAAACCGGACGTCGGAAACGGAATTCAAGATCGACCGGAGATGATCAAGGTATATGCACCGAGACCGATCCGGCTTTCGACCGGGTTCGCAAGAAATTACAGCTTTGATGATCTGGCGACGAGTGCAGCCTCCAGTAGTTCAGGTAATAATAAAGCTACTCTTAACGATAACGGCAACAACAACAATAATGGAGAAGAGTTGACGGTTATTCCATGGCATTTGTACGAGGTTGGAGATGATCTGTTGGATGATTATATGGACGGCTGTGATCTTTCGGCCAGATATTCACTGCCCACCAGTGACACTTTGATGGAGAAGGTGTATGATGAGTATCTACAGCTTCTCTCAGAGGATTGTTGTCTTCAAACATGTTCGTCCTGATTTATATTCAACACACTTTTATTTGTAAAGTTTGAATTTCATCTTCTCTCTCTCTCTCTTTAATTTGTTTTTGGCAAAGGGTGTTCACAGTGCATGGGACAAGTGTTGTTGACTTTCATTATATTCATGTTGATTTGATTGATGGTACCAAATATCGAATTGATTCACCAGCTGTTCCCATATGTGTGGATAAAACCCCAATCTATGTCTGCTTCCTGCCAATGATATCGGAAAATGATAGACATATTTGATGTTGTTTCAAATAGTGAAGTACGGAGTAATATTTAAAATTAAAACCTTAATTTTGTTTAAAAAAAGAATTTGCAAAAAACTTTGAAAATGAAGTGTATTATTTGAGTCGGCTGGTCAGCTATGTACAAGTTTGACTCACAGTAAAAACCATCTAGTATTTACTGACCTTTTTAGTTTGAGTCAGTAACCTATGGACAATCTATATTGATTTGCCTTCTTATGTTTGTTTAACTGCTAGGGTCTGATTTACCCAATATAAGTTAGTGGCTCGGGGTTCCCTTAGTCGTATGAAAAAAATAAGGGTGTGTTTGGTTGTGGACTTTTGCACCTTACTATGGATTTTGACGATACACATTACCATGTTTGTTTGCCTACGTTTGTTATGCTACTATTGGAATCAAATCCTTTAGTAATTGCAAAAAATATTACCATTTTACCCCACTTTTGAAGAATGAAATAAAAAATAAGGGAGAAAAAAATAAAAATAAAAATAAAAGGTCATTGTCCATTCATTAAATATGAAATTTTAATAATATATATATATATATATATATATATATATATATATATATATATATATATATATATAATTAGGTTCAAATGCAGATGGTGCACCCCAGTGCGGAGGAGCGGTGAGATGAGAGCCATTGATCTTGCATAAATCAACGTACGTCTAGGATTGATAATGATTAAAAAAAAGTGCAGTGATAATTTGTTCTTTTTGCATCTAGGTCAAATTTAATGTGCGTGATTTTTCTTCTTAAGGTACGTGATTTTTGTGCTTAAGGTGCATGGTTTTTGTGTTGTGTGCTTAAGGTGTGTTAATTTTTGAAAACTTAAGTGCGTCATTCTAAAGCTTTAAGTGCGTGGTTTCTTTTTTAAGGTGCGTGGTTTTCCTTCTTAAGGTGCGTGGTTTGTGTGCTTAAGGTGCGTCAATTGTTGAAACTTAAGGTGTGTCGGCCTAAAGCTTTAGGTGCGTGTTTTTCTGTCTTTAAGGTATGTTGTTTTCCTTTTTTAAGGTGCGTCAGTCTAAAGCTTTAGGTACGTGATTTTACTTCTTAAGATGCATTGTTTTCCTTCTTAATATGGTGCGTCATTTTTACAGTTTTTTTTCATTCAACAATACAGTGTATTTTTTCAGTTTTGGTTCCCAAGATCAAAATGATCTAATTCAAAAGAAAAAAAAAATATGATTGATAGCAATATAATAACAAATAGTAGAGTTGTTATCTTTTGGAGTAAATATGAAGAAGATGGATGCATTTGAGGACGCGCGCTTTTTTTTATTTAATTTTTATTGATTTGAGTCGTTGATCTAGATTTGATCAACGGTTCAGATCTAATCCCATTTTTCACCTGGGAGCATATCTCCGCACCAGAACTCATCCCTATATATATATATGTGTGTGTGTTAAATATTTTTATATATTTATTTACTTTTATTTTACTCCGCAATTAATTAATTAATTAATTAATTTGATTCCACTTACTATTTACAACCAAACAAAATAGATTATCATACTTAAAATAAAATAAATACTGGTTCAAAAAAAAAAAATAAATACTGTAACAAATCCAAAAAAAAAAAAAAAAAAAAAAAAAAACGTGGCTAACTGGTTGTGCCGTACGATCATTACAGAGCATATTGGAAATTTGAATGATATGGTACCGTACATAAATTGGACTATGCGTACAGTCTCTGTCTTACGACCAATAATACTGAAATTAGGTTAATAGGAGGTAGGGTGATGATTATATTGCATGGTTGCATTTTATATTGTATCATGCATGCATGCACGCACATAATAGGGTTGGTTTTTTTTTTTTTTGGTGGTCCCGTTCTTATAAATAAATGAGGTCCTACCAATAGTATAAGTACATCTTTAAAATTAATAATTTAAAATATATGATTTTTATTTCAAATAAGTATGAACGGTGTAACACCGGCTAGTTGAATGCAAAAATCATATTTTCTAATGTAAAATATATTGTTTTTATTTCAAATAACTATGAACGGTGTAAATATTAGGCCCTCTAAAAATTGAGGCCCTGTGCTGTTGCCTATCTTGCACGCCCTAAAATCTGGCCATGGCACATAAAATCATGATCAATACATATCCATCATAAGCTATATATACATAGGACAGATCAAGATTTTATAATCATGCATGCATATATAATCATGATATGTGGTATGTATATATAGCTTATGATGGATGTGTATTTATTAGTTTTTCTCTTTCTTTTTAATTGTAAAACTGAGAATTTGTTAGAACATCATGAAACTGGTTACAGTGGTATAGTAAGTTTTGAAGTTGTAATAAATCTTTCCTATTCCCAAGTTCCTTCTTTTGGCCTGGAGTCCTATGCGTAGAATTTATGTTTTGTACACGTAATTAACATATACTCCATAAGAGTAAGGATGACAACTCAGATCGGACCCACAAGCTAAGTATTCATGCAACCGAACCAACCTATATCTTACTTTAAAAAAAAAAAAAAAAATTATTAAACCAACTATTTCTCCTTTGCATATATTTTTTTAATATTTTCTTATTATTTTTAAATTTATTTTTAATAGCATTTTTAATTTTCTAAATATATAAATTTTATATACTAATTTATACTAAACTTAATATTATATAAAAAAATTGAATTTTAGAAATATGTTGATTATTTGACATGAGAGTGGACAACTGTCCAAAATTGATCTGAAACTAGAAAATTATTGCTTTGAATGTAAAAGATTTTGAACCCTTTGTAAATCGTTTTTCAAGGTATTTATACAACTTAAAAACTACTCCGTAATTTTTAGCATTCGATGATTTGTTAGTCAATTTAGTTCTTCTGTGAACGGTGTTAAACGGATTAATTCATAGAAGAACTAAATTGACTAACGGTGGAATAATTGAGGGACCAATTCTGTCCAAATTGGAAAGTGAGGATCACATTGTATATGGGCACTAATTGAGGGACCAAAAGTGAAATTTTCCCAAATTATATATATAACTAATGTAAATTTTATTTAGAGAAAATCGCACTTTTGGTCCCTCAATTAGTGCCCCATATGCAATGTGATCTGCACTTCCCAATTTGGACAGAATTAGTCCCCCAATTATTTTACCGTTAATCAATTTAGTCCTTCTGTGAACGGTGTTAAACGGATTAACTCACAAAATGACTAAATTGACTAACGGTGAAATAATTAAAGGACCAAGTCTATCCAAATTAAAAAGTGAGAATCACATTACATTTTGGGCACTAATTGAAGGATCAAAAGTGTGATTTCCCCTTTAAAAAATAGGTCCCCTAAGCTGTGCACATTAATGAAAAATTGATTATAAAAAGCATAAAGAAATTAATCCCCTAAATCTAGATGCAAACCATCCCATCAGTTTTTCAACCCAAAGCCCATAACCAGGGTCAAATCTATATATATATAAAAGTAAAATCCTCCTAACAAATTTTCCCCCCAAAACTTTTGTAGTAAAACTTATTTGGTAAGTAAATGTCAAATGGAAATTAAATAAATAATAATAATTAAATAAATAAATTATTATATTTTCCCTTAAATAAATAAATTATTATACTTTCCTTTTGAATTAGTATTTTCTACCTATAAATACAAGGGCTTCTTCAATCAAAGAATCTCAGACTCATCTCTCTGCTTTCTTTTTGTATGAATTTTCTACATTTTTTTAACTATATTCTCACGTACTTCAATATATTTTGCAGTTTATATCGTCTGGTATGAGTTTGAAGATACTTAAGGAGACTCTGCTTCCACAAAAGAAAATTGAGGAGGAAGAGCATTTGTAACAGAACCCTATTGGTTTAGTTTTTATGGAAGATTGTAGAGATGCGACCGAGGATGATAAAGACGGTAATTTTGATAATTTTGTAAGATTTTTTGAAACTTAGAGTTAGTATGTTGATTTCGAGATTTGTACATGTCATTCAAGTTTCTATGTTTTTTTTTTTAACAAACAGAGTTCATTTTACAGCATTTTTATAATCAATATATATATATATATATATATATATATATATATATATATATATATCAACTTGAGTAGAGTGTTTGTTTAACCTATTAAAAATCTCACTATATTTGATTTTTTCTAAATTTGTGTAAAACACAAAAACAATGATTATTTAAAAAGAAGAAATAAATAACAAATACAATTTCAGATTTTGTGTTACTCCATTCACATATTAGTATATAAAAAAAAAAGTAATAATAAAAAGGGAAAAAAATTACCAATTAATAATACTAATAATAATTTGTAAAAAAGTTAGTAGTAAATTTGAAACAGAAGGGGGTTACTTTTATATATACTCCGTGTGAAGTTTATATGGAAATAATAATTTGGTAAAGTTTAGCATTAAATAACATATATATTCTCCGTGTGAAGTTTATATGGAAAGATTAATTTGGTAAAGTTTAGTATTAAATAATAACAATTACAATTTGCTATTATATATAGATTTACGTAAATTCATATATATTCTGCGTTATATGAATTTAAAGATTAATAATAATATCAATACCAATCTATCTATCTATATTATGAATTAATTAGTAATAAAATTAATTAGAAATATTAATATAATGACTTGATTATGATCATCAATATAATAAATTAATTATGGCAATACCTTAAATAAATAAATACAATTTCCTTTTGAAAAATCTTACAAATTTATAATTCTCATATTTTTCACCTATAAATACAATGAATTGATGACTAAAAAAAATTAAAGTCTTCATTTTACATTGCAGATGACTCTCTCATCACCAATTTAATCATTGTGGTTCAATAGCTGCTCAAACTAATATGCATATTTCAAGACATTAAATGTACAATTTCTCTTCTATCTATTTCTATCTTTGCGAAAAAAAGTTATTATTTTTTTATTTACATTCTTTATTATGGATTTGTTTTTAATTGTTGTTTTTAAAAAAAAAAATTGTATTTTGTAGTATATGTATTTTTTGTATTATTG